AGAAAGAATAAAATTTTAATTTTATATAATTTTAAACTTTTATTTTTATATTTTTAAATAAATTAAATTATTTGCGGTACAATTTTTATTCATTGAGTAATGTCACATGCAAAATTTCTAAAAACTTTTGATCCCTACTGTACTGTATTACTCAAAGAGAAGAATGAAAGAATGAGAGCTACAAATTCAAAAGCTCGATGTATTTATACCTATTTGTTCTTAAAATAAGAAATTTCTGCTTGATTCAGGTTGTGTTTTTTGTGTTATTAATTAAGTAATATATTGTGTACGCGCAAAAAAAATGCTCACGTTAGAATTTTCGATCATTAAAGATATTTTATTAAAACTGAACACAAAGATTTTATTATTTCATCTAGGGTATATATTAATTAATTTTAGCATTCAATTGAATTTCAAAGGAAATATTTATTTGAAACAGTAGAATTGAAAAAAAAAATTATATAAAGATATTAATTTATAATACTTTATTGAATATTTCAACATTTCAATTTCGGTAAAAAGTCAATAAATATTTTATTTGTCGCAAACGTTATATAATTTATATAATAACTTTATATTATCCATTAAAATTTTATGCAATTATAAAGAATTTTCTATAATTAAACAACTTTAATAAAGATTAAATAATAAACTCTTATAATCTACGCTTAAAATAAAAATATTTTCAAAACTTTTACTGAAAAAAATTCTTTGAATTTATCTCTTGATTTCTTATCAATATATTTAAACGGTTGCGATTTGAACAATAATTTTTTATTTATTTGTTCAGAATTGAAATCTAAAATATCCATTATTTCAAAATTAGAATCATTTGAATATAGCAAAGGAAATTATATTAATTAGTGATTTGTGTATGAATCGGAACACCAAATGCTATGATGCAAAATATTTTTTTACTTATTAAATTTAAATTAAATACTTCGTGCGTGCATTTTTAAGGAGTGAGGTTGATATTAAAATTTTTCAAAAACTTGTTTCAATAGAGTTATTTACTTTAAAAAAAACAGAAAAAAATAAAATTTTCTTAAAATCGACCGTTTTTTACAGGTTTTGAAGCCATTAGCTTAATTTGAGATATTTCATGTTTTTCAAAAAAAAAAAAAAATTTTTAAAGAATCCATTAATACATATTCATATGCATACTGTATGTATACAAATTCTGAGATTTCCAATACTTTTATTAAGTAAAAAATGGTGGGGTGATTTTGCTAAAATTTTGCTCACTGACGATTTTTAGGAAATTATTAAACTTTACAAGAACTAGATTTAATACTTGAATACAAAAGACAAATGTTTAAGTCTCCAAAAAAAAATTCGAATTGATCGACTTGCCAATAGCGGAAATTCAAGCATATTTATTATTTATCATTATTAGTTATTATTATACTTTAGAGGAAAGAAATATCTGAAAATATTTGCATCATCAGTTGTTTTCATCTCTACAAATAATCTTATTTTAATAAAATAAATCGAACCACATTTTTCTCAGTAGATTTTTTATATTTTTATATTTATCCGGTCATTGTATACTTTCAATTACTAAGAATTTTATGCTCAATAAAAGAATATTGTATTTATTATTAAAACTATTATTTTTGAATAAAGTAAGAGTATATGGACACCATGCTGTGCTAATGGTACAAAGATAAATTAATACAAATCGCATTTACCTAAAATTAAAAACAACGAAAACATTTGGTAATTAAACTAGCATATATTTGATTTGTTCGAGGAAGAAGATATTTATATAAAAAGTTTTTATAATAAATTAAATTATAATATGGATGAAATGGTCTCACAAATTTTTTATAACAAACAATTGCTTAACGCTTTATTCTTATTCTTTACAGGGAAATCAAATTCGAGAGTTCTTTATTTTATTTTTTAAGTAACTTTTAACGCCATATTTCTTTAATGGAAATGAAAATATGTTATTTAAATTGGTTTAACGTAAACACAATTTATCACAAATTTTCAGAAATTTATGTAGTTTTCAAAACATTGGAAAATTATTACATTAATTTCTTGTCTACGAAAATATTAGTAATTTTTCTAAACCCTGAAATTAAGTAATTTGGGTATTTGTTCACGTTACTTCATCATAATAAAGATCTGCCTGTAAATCATTAATTAGTTTGTGTATTAGCATACAAGTCAAAATGCTAAAATAACAGCATATAAAAATTTAAAATGGTAAGTTCAATTAAAAATCGTGTTTCAGGATAATAAAATAAATATGTAATATTCTTTATTAGAGAATTCAATTTTATAATCACATATTATTTAGGGCATGACCTCTGGTGTTTTTAATAAAAATATAAAACTGACACAAGCCTTCGTGTAATATGCAGTTAATAATATTGATATTTATATCTTCATTGTTTATTGTATACTTTAATGAAACAGAGTTAGATTATTTAAATTATTGAAAAAAATTTAATTTCTAGAGTATCTTTGCTGTTATCATTATTATCATGATTATCTATTATTATTGCCATCATTATTATTAATCTTTATTATTTGTAATATTTATTATTTATTATTAACTTACATACAGAGTCGATACTGAATAAATAAGTTAATATCAATTATTATTGTTGTTTGACAAATTAATAAATATATTATTTAGATTATGCAAATTTTCCTGCTGTGCTAATGGCATGGGGGATTGGTTTTTCCTATTTTAACCTAATATTCAATTATCTTTAATAACGATATATAAGGTTTCACATTTACTTTACATGTCGGGCTATATGGAGCTATACACAATTTATCACAATTGAGCATAATTTGAATTGGCCATTACAAGTAGATTTGTGTAATATAAAAATTGTACTACAGAAACTTTGCTAGATATAAATATAGTTCTGGCTCTTCTCTTCGAACCAGAGTAATAAACTATAATAAAGCAAACCAATCACTATAATTTAAAGTTTTATTTCAACTTATTATTATATTATAATTTAGTGATAAAATATTTTAAATAAATAATCTCCCTTCACGAACAAAAAGAGTTATTATTTAAATATGTCTCTTTCTATTAACTACCAAAATACTTTAAAAGTCCCGTTTCCCCCAACCATTAGTGTAGATGAAATTGTAAATATTCATTTAAAAAATAATATTAAAAATGTTAATGAAACCATGAATGCATTCATGATTTATCGAAAAGAATATAATTATATAGTTGCAAAATTTAATCTTTCAAGTAAAGATTTATCGAAATTTGTCAGCATTTCATGGCAAAATGAGCCAGAACATGTCAAAGACTATTACCGACAGATGGCAAAAAATGTAAAAAATTGTTTTAAAAAAAAAGTTCCTTCTCTTTGTTTTATCAATAACAATCAAATAGATAGTATAAATGATAAATTACGTCCCTCTAGGTACAGTTAATCCTTCACTTCTTAAAAGATAGGATAAATAAATAGCAGTTCTACAAAACTTATTTTTCTCTTTATTAAATTATAACTTTAGGCAATGCTACAGATATATAGTATATTATATATATGAATAATTTCTATATTTCTATATAAATTTTTGGGTCAAAACAATAAAATTTCGTTTAAATAAAATCTATTTACATCGAATTAACTTTATTGTGTTATAATATCATTGTTTCAAGAATAACACTGTTCATGCTGTTTCGTTAGCACAACATGGATAATGTTAACCATTTCTGTCAGATAAATTATATTTTTGAAACAAAGGGATAATCCGCTTTTTTGTAGAATGGAAACATAAAGCTACAATAGTTACACATTGGATTATTATCATATCGTTCCTTGAACGTGGGTGTTGATATATGCTACACAATAAATATATTTTATACACATACATATTCCAGATATGTGGGCTATGAATATTACTCATTGCATCATTTTTAAAAATATATTTTGATGTATAACATTAATAAAGTTGCACTGGTTCACAACACAATTAATAAAAAAACCTTTAATAGTACTATTACGCCTCAAGCAGTTATAAGGATGTCTCGTTATTTTGTGTGTTTATTTAGATTTTTTTATTTTTTATTATTTGTTGCTTCCGCCCCTTCTTCTCTCCTCTTGTTATAATAATTGTTCTTCCATAAAAAAAAAAAATAAAGAGAGAAATGTTAATAAAAATTAAATATATAAGAATTCAGGTTTTACAAAAATAACTATCAAATATAAGGTTCGATATGTAAGTATAACTAGCATATATAAAAGAGTTTTCAAAGTATAAGTCATACGATCTACCCATAGTCAGATATTCATAAAGATCAAATAAAAGAGGAATCGAATACTTTATTACTTGGATTCAAAGAAAAGCGAGAGCTACAAAATTCAAAAGCTCGATGTTTATTTTGCTCACAATTGAAATTTAATATATAAAATCCATTATTTATTATTATTTATTATTTCTTTATTATTATCATTTTTTAATATTATTTATTAGAAGAGAGAAATATCTGAAAATATATACATCATCAGTCATTTTTTGTTTACATCACCTCTACAAACATTTTATATTTATCCGATTATTATATGCTTTTGGACTTACTAAGAATTTATGCTTAATAATAAGAACATTATATTATCCTATTATTTAAAGCGCTTATTTATGCAGTGTTCTCTCACGAAAAGTTAACGTTAACGTCAATAAAATTAGTTTATTATTTTAGAATATGTTGTGCTAAGATAAAGCAATTATTATTTAAACACTTTACAGTAATATTATACTTTATGCAATACTCCTATTTGACTAAACCTTGACTTCCTGTCGATCAAAAACCTCAAAAAGTGGTAATTTGGCTCGCTTTTTTTTTTTACGTATTTATAATGTATACTGTTGCATTATTGTGGACTGCCTTCGCTCTCTCTCTCTCACTACCTTTTTCATTAAAAGAATGATTTCAGTAATCTTTCTATTAAAGTGGCCAACATAAAAATCTGGAAGTTTGTTCACAGCATAACTAGGTAAAACACTTGTTGATTATAAGAGATTAAATTAGAAATCGATTTATTGATTTATATTCGTTACAAATATCATTTTAGTTACACATCTCCTATAAAAACGAGAAATATCTCACTTTTATCTACAAAAAATATATATATTTAAAACTTTAATTAAATATGACTGTATCTTTAGCCAAATTTCTATATAAAATTTTCATTGTTTATTTTCCTTTTTAAATATATTAAATACCTGTATTTCATAAATGGATTTTTTTTCTCTGTTTTTTTACATTCAGTAGATCTTATTTCGTGTTCTTAAAATTAATTGGCCATTATATTACTTCGACGGATTGGCATCAATTACAGTATATGCAAAATGTACTGACTGCATATGAAATATCAGTCTTTTCCCTTGCCGAATTAAGGAAATCAAGATCATATTAAGAAAATAACTAAACCAATTACATATAATTTTAAAATTATTTATTATGAATTAACTTATTATTATAATTAGTGATAAAAATTTTAAATAAATAATATCCCTTCACGAACAAAAAGAATTCTAAATATCAGAATAAGTTTATTATTCATAATAAATTAAATTATATAATTTAAGCAAATAAAAAAAAAAATATTAAAACCAATTTTTTATTATGATTATAGATCCTAATATCAATGCTTCTTAGAGTTAATAAAGTTTCTTATAGGAAAATTATGTAAGATAATAATGAACGACATACTTTTAGTAGTGGATTAATGCTATCATTATTTTGTCTAACAAATATGTTTAGAATATTGTTCACGCTGTGAAATTTTATTTAAACGAAAGTTTATTGTTATTATTCAGAAAATTTATATGTAGATATTCATATCATATAATGTTCGTATCTGAAAATTTGCTTTATCTAAAATTATAATTCAATAAAGAAAACAATAGGAGGGATTCGCAAAGTATAAATCGACGATTACATCATTTAAAATGGTAACGATTGAATAATTGCCTTATAAGTTAATGCCGTATCTTCAGAAAGATAGTTCATAAGTTCACCCTCATCCATAGTCATATGTATATTAGTAAAGATTGTTGGATAACGATTGGTTGATAGTCTTTTTCTATATTAAGAGGTGGAGGAAAGTTTTGATTATATTAAGTTAACGATATCTAAAGGGACGTGATTGTCATTTATACTATCTACTTGATAGTTATTGATAAAAAATGGGAAGGAACTTCTTTTTGAAACATTTTTTACATTTTTTGCCATCTGTCGGTAATAGTTTTTGACATTTACTGGTTCATTTTGCCATGAAATGCTAACAAATTTCGATAAATCTTACTTGAAAGATTAAATTTCGCAACAATATGATTATATTCTTTTCGATAAATCATGAATGCATTCATAGTTTCATTAACATTTTTAATACCATTTTTAAATGAATATTTACGATTTCATCTACACTAATGGTTGGAGGAAATGGGACTTTAACTATGTTTGCAGTATTTTGATAATTAATATTAAGTGACATATTTAAAATTTTTTTCACTGATTACATTAAATTAATTTGTAAATAATATTAAATGATTTTAATTTATTATCGGGTTCAACGAGGAGAGCCAGAGTTGCGAAATTCAAAAATTCGTCATATTTATGTTTTGTCAAAGTATTGATGTACAATATAAAGGACAATTCGTCTGCGAAAATAATGAAGAATATTCATATACTTTATATAAGTTAGGATTGAATTAATAATTTATATTTGGAAACCAATCTAAATAAAAATTTTAAATTAACGTGCTGTTACATTTCTATTGAATGAACGCATGAAAAATTTTAGTAAATATTAAATTATTCAATTAAATTATGTAACTAATATTCATATTATTTGAATTTATTGAATAAATTGTCACATATTACACGGCGTTACTAAAAAATCGCTCTAATCTTCCAATACCATATACATTATTTGAATTTATTGAGTAAATTATCACATAGATTACAAAATTACGTACAATAAATTCCTATTAAGTTAAATAATTAATGAAAGAAATAAACTTAGTAAAATAAAATAATAACCACTAGAGAAATATGTTAATAAATATTATTATTAAAATTTTTTGTCAAAAAAAAAGATACAATATACTGTATATTAAAAAAAAACTTAAATTCTTTTGATAATATTTAAACAAACACAGCCTGACAAGCTTTGTTCATATGGACTTGATTCTCCATTTGATTTTGTCACATAAAATTGAATTATTTTTTTTTATATTTTAGATGAATGAATATGATACAAACTTAAAATATAAATTTTAACCGATAATTATGATAGCATTAAGTTAATTATCGGTTAAAATTTCTATTTTAAGTTTGCATCACAAGCCTTAGACTTTTAATATAATTTTTTTTCGTGTTTGTTTGTCATGTCAAATACATAACATAGCAGATATGATGCATTACGGCATGCCGAATTCCGAAAATATTTTTGGCATACTTTATATTTTCAAACCAAAATGCCGAAATTAAATTATTTTAGGCAGCCGAAATAATTAATTATTTTTGATCCTCCGAAGATCGGAAGGTCGGTGGCTTTTTATTTTCATTATATATTTTATTTACGTTTTTTCTTTCTCTCATAATAATGATATCGCTCCCTTTCGCTAGTTTTCTTTTCTTTTTTAAGACCAGGTTCCACTGTGATTTTTTTTTCTTATATTCTTTCTTTTCTTTTTCCAGATTGGGTTCTAGGAGGTTCGCGGTGACGGTAGGTATCTTTTTTTGGTTTTATTTTACAAACTTATGAACCTGCCTCATAAGAAAGGAAGAAAAAAATATGTAAATAATAAAGGCAAGGAGCAAGGTAAGTATAAAATTTTATTTAAAAAAAATTATTATTAATAATAAAATAAAATAAAATAAAAAACTTATCATCTCCACAAGTTTGCAAAGCTAATTTATACTTTCACATTCACCCCACAGACCTATGAACCTGCTTATAAGGAGGGAAGGAAAAAAATAGACGAATTATAAGGGCAAGAACAAGGTAAGTATAAAATTTTGTTAAAATATAAATAGATAAAAATAACTTACCATTCGTTCAAGCTCTCGAAGCTGATTTATACTTTCACGTTCATCTTCACAAACTCGTGAACTTGCTTATGAGAAAAAAAAGGAGAAAATAGGCAAATTATAATGGCAACTAAGCAATGTAAATATAAGTTTTTATTAAAAAAAAAAAATACTTCATTTTCATAAATCCGTGAAGCCGATTTATACTTTCATATTTGTTCCCACGAATCCACAAATATGTTTAAAAGGAGGAAGGAGAAAAATAGGTAAACTATAAAGGTAAGAAGCACGAAGCCTAAAAAAAAGATTATCAAATCTAAATATAAATAAACTAACACTAAACTCGAGGTATAAATTAAATAAAAAATTCTAGATTTGGAAAAGGGACTAATATAAGTTTTCTCTATTTTTTAAATATAATAAAGAAAATGAAAATGTGATTTTTTTTTATATTCTTTCGCATATTCAAAATATAACATAAGTTTTGTTTTACGTAAAAATATCAGAATAATGCAAAAACATGGATTTATTGTGGGTCTTAGAATAAATAAATATAGATTAAAAAACATAATTAAACTGCATGGAACACCCTTATCAGTTAAAAAATATAAAATATATTAAAATATAGTAAGAAAATTAAAATAATATATAATGTTAGAATAAACATATTTCGTAATGTTATTAAAAGAGTAATATAAACTAATCAAATAAAGTAGGACTGTCGCTCGGGTGAACTATCGATATTCACAAATTGAAATAAAATTTGGATCGATATTCATATGTTGAGGATTAGGGTAGGTAGCGTTTAGAAACGAAGGATTGGCATTTATCGAGTATTGAAATTGGGTATTTGAAGATTAGAACGTAATCAAGGTAGTTAGTCGCCTATCCGAAGGGTTTTCCGAAAATAAATTTCAGGAAACTTATCCTGAACTCCTAAATCCATATTAAGTGAAAAGACTATGTCTAGAGGGTTTTCCATATTCATATATCGAGAATCGTGGTAAGCAGAGTTATTAAAAAGTGGAAAATTATCCTAAGTAGTAACTGAGGAGTTTTGAGCCACATTCTGATGAATTGAGTAAGCAATTTCTAAAGGATTTTGGCTCTGGTTTCTAGCGAGATGCTGTTATCGTTTGAAGAAACTTTATTGATTGTTTCAAAGTTGTTAATGAAAAAATGTGTAGGGGCAATTTCTTTATAACGTTCTTTAACCTGTTTAGCTATTTCCTTGTAATAACTTTTAACATCTTCCGGCTCCTTACTCCAACGTTCGGCTGCTAATTTTGACGCATCTTTACACGAGTTATTATTTGGGTGCAGATATTGATATTCATTTCGATAAATTATAAAAGCGTTCATAGTTCTAGTGACATTAGTCTCATTTCTTAAATGTGTTTGAACAGAATCTTCAATTATGAGCAAAGCATCCCTTGGAAAACAGTCATATTTAATTAAAATTAAAAAAAATTTTTTTGTGGATATATTTCTCGTTTTTATAGAAAGTTATTGAAATCGATTCTCTTATTGAAAAAGACAAAAAAAAAATAGCAACAGTTAAGTACGTAAAAAAAGAGAGACAAATTCCCACTTTTAAAAAGGCGCGACAATGGATTTATTTTTGATCCAACGGTCAGTCTGTCCTTCGTGACCATATCTTGGGTCTGTGCCCTTAAAGATCTCGTCCTGAGTGTATTCAACTTTGAAAGACTCCAGTTACGCAAAAGGAAAGAGGAGGAAAAATGGTTTATTTTTATGATACCTAGAAATTGAAAAAAGAAATTAGCTGTGTATTTGAGTGTATTAAATCCTACAATGCAACAGGAATACTTATTTTTGTTCTTTCTTCGTGTGTGAATATTTTTTTTAATAAAAGAAAGTTTGTTTATTTTTATTTTATTTTTTATTTATTTATTTTTTATTTTATTTATTTTTTTGTATTTTTTGTATTTTTGTAGCGACGTATTATTTATTTATTTATTTTTTGTATTTTTGTAGTGACGTATTATTTATCTAATCTAATCTAAATTATTTTTTAAATAAATTATTTTTGTGTAATCTCGTGTTCTTTTTTTTTGTAATCTCGTGTTCTTGTGTTTATCTGTCAAAAAATTGGACAGACATCCTTTTCCAAAGTTTCATTTTTGATTTTTTATTTAAAAATATCAATAAAAATATCAAAAATGTAATTTAAAAATATCAAAAACGTAATTTTGATTTTATCTTACGTGTCCATTAAATGTCCTACACTATGCTCTGGACAATTATTAATTTTAAAATTTGTAATTCTATTTAAGATATACTGTAGATAATTATTACATTCTGAATTCAAATTATATATGTTACATATATGAAAAATCTGAGCAATCTGAAAGAATTATTTACCACTGAAAATTTTAGGTTTAATATAAAAAATGCCTTTGTATAAACACCAACTACACAATATATTATTATTAATTATGGTAAAAAAAAATACATTAAATTGTAGATTAGATCTAGAGCTATCAAATAATGTATTTTTTTAATTCTATATTTGGATGCAAAGTTTTATTAGTTTAAAATAAGTGATAAATATTTGATGCCCTTAGACTTTCTGCACCATAGCGATTAAGTAGATGTCCATTTTCAGAATTTTTTAGTATAAAATTTCGTATCAATATGTTAAATATTCATTATTCAGAAATTCATGTAAATATTTTTACAAATATCACCTGTTATTTAAAAACATTTAGCACAATTGGATCAATAATAAAGCGTGTAAGATACTTCACAATTATAAATTTCAACATTTTATTCAATAAATTAATATTCATTAAAATATCAAAAGTATTTTTCAAAATTCAAAAATTCAATAAATAAAGGAAGATTTAAAAATGTGGTATTTGTTCTTCCATAATGTAGAATCATTTTGACAAATAGGGTTAAACATAAATCTAGAATATGTATTATACTGTGTAAGCCATTTCTAGCATATATGAGTTTGATAAATAAGTTAAAAATCGTAATGCTAAAATAACAACATATGTATTGAGGTGATACGAAGGTAACCAATGTCACGGGAGAGGAGAGAAGATGACCGTGTTACTATTTGGATGAATTATCTTTGTACTTCGCATATCATCCTTCATCCAAGATGAAAGATGATATCCTCATGTTTATGGATAATTATGGATGAAGGTAAACAAAGGGAAAAATATAAAATAAATGCGTAATGAGAGAAGAAACAAGAGATTTTCCCCCTCGCAAAACTTTTAAAATTCATATAATATTTTATCTTGACAACAATATTTTCTTTTATATATTTTTTTTTTAATAACAAATAGTTTCATAATAATCCTAATAATTCATAATTATTTTTCTTATGTTTTTATAATAAATAATTCCTCAAATAATACTAGTAATAATAAATACAAATAGTTTTGAAATAGTCTTAATAATAATAAATAATTTCTGTAATAGTTTTAATTTTTAATAATAATAAATAATTTCGTATTAAGGCAGCATGAAAATAGCTGGAGTCATGGGGGATGATGGAGGATGATATGTGTTACTATTTGGATGAATTATCCTTGTGTGTCATCTATTATCCAAGATAACTGTTTATTCATCCTGGCACAAAAATGTTTTTATGGATGACAGAGAATGACGGTAAACAAGAAGAAAAATTATAAAATAGCTGTGGTAGGAAAGAAAGAAAAGGGAGATTCCTTTTTGTCAAAAGAACAAGAACCAAAAATAAAAATATTTTACTTGATATTTCGAACAATTTTAATTTTAGTTTTATTTTACTTAAATATTTTGAACATTTTAATTTAGTTTTATTTTACTTTTCATTCGTAATACTTTTTAATAATAATAAATAATATAGTCACGAGACTAGCGAAGCAATAAGATATGCCAAAGCAGTAATATATCACTATTGTTATTCTCTTTTATTTCTTTTATATTTTTGTAATAATTTTAAACATAAATTTAGTGTAGCGGAATAACAAAAGTGATAAGATATGCCAAAATAGTAATATATTGCTTTTGTTATATCCAATATTAAACTTTGATAAACTATTTCTTTTATTTCTTGGCAAGTTACATCAAAAAGTCTACAATAATTTTGATAGTGTGCAAGCAGATATTAAAGATACTTTTACTTTACTTGCTCATCGTACCTTCAGATATTACACATAATTGCATTGTTGTGAGTATTAGTAAGCAAGTTTAGATCAACTAATTACCTGTCTTGCTGTGGATATTGCGTACAAGAGAAAGTGTATTAGTAGTACATTGAATTATCATGTGATTGACCCAAACTTATTGAGACTGATTGACTTAACTTTCCACTTGTTCTGCGTAGACCGTGACAGAATTTTGGTTCCTCCTGTGAGATTTGGCATAAAGTATCTTTGATCTGTGAGTAAATCTATTATTGCTTTTTTTTTTTCCTTTTCTTTTTTTTTTCTCTCAGATTTATGAAAATTCCCACTATATAGAGCTAGAACCCATTTTCAGGAATTCTTTTTGAAAAACCAAAATCATAAAGATTATTTTCATTCAAGAGGGAATCTGATCAACTATTAGAGATAGAGTAAACTCTTAATTTTCAGCCTTTGGCAAGAAACAGTGATCGAAAACAGCCTTTGATATAGTAAAATTCCCATCAATTAATGGATCAACAATGAGAGTCAATTTAACGAAATTGGTATAATATAGTGAAACATAAGAAGAAACCTTAGAAATACTTTTCCATCAATAGCCTCAAACAAAACAATAGCCAATTTATCAAAAAGAAGAATAACCTGAAGAATAACCAGGGGATTGAGCCAGGTTACCGAAGAAAGCGAAACTAACACTTTAATAAGAGGACTACAAAATGCCTTCCGCATAAGGAACAATGTGAAGATGCTAACATTCTGTGGAAGAAATTAAGACCCTATGGAATGGCTAATAGATCCACAGGAATAAACCAATATAATAATGAATATAAGCTTTAGATATTTAAAGACTGATTAAAAGGATCAATAGTGAAAATCAGTGGAGCAAAAAAAAAAAAAAAAAAGAAGAGATCTGGCACTTCTTGAAAGGACTGAGAAAAGATATCATTTATCAAGCACGGTGTTACCTCTATTTATTTTTATATTTATTAATTTATATATTTATATATTTTATTATCATATTCATATCTGTATTATTTTATTATTAAT